CATTTTATTTTCCCCTCAAAAGTATGAAAAACCTACTGCCTCAAACAAATGCAGTCCCATTTCCTAGTGTGAACCCTTCCACAACTACGCACTCTAATAAGCCGAAGTTCGAGTCTTCACCCTTCCCCTCCTCCCACTCGATAATTCAAACATGGCACATTCTACTCTCACATCCCGGCACACTCGTATTCGCCCTTCCGAACCAGCTGGGCCCCAGCTCAAGCCATGGTATGTTTTTGAGAATTGGAAGCCCCAATGTACCCCATGTTTGGCAATTTAGAGGGCCCAATCTGAACCAATTTTGCAAATCTAATGACCCAACCTTACCCCTAATTCAGACCACAAACTTTGCAAATTTATCTTCTCTCTCCAAAAATTCGAAAGAACCTCATCGGAAATGAAAGTAAACAAAATGCTAGAACCCAACTGACCCAGATACTCTTTCACGGACATTCCCTCCCTTCATCACATACACATACACACCTACAAACAAATGCTTTGTAGCGAATGCGAGCAATTACCTGATAAAACTAAGAAGTCAAGGCGAGTGGGGAGTGAGGGAGGGCATAGGAAGGAAGATGACACGATGACTCCTATCCACAGATGACTTCCTCTACCATCTACCTTGGGTAGACCTACGGCTTCAGGACAGTCGTGTAGCTCTCTGCGTATCTTTATTTTTTTATATTAATAATTTTTGTAGAGCGGGACGTTATTATTGGACCGGTTATTATCAGGCCGTATGAAAATCTGCATATTTGCTGAAGACCGCAGAATAGTCCAGATTGCTCTCTGAGTTTTCTAGGGGCATTGAAATACTATAAAAGTTGGTATTTGTATACGCATAAGTTACCTGGAGATTTTGTATTATCACGATAGGTCGATGAAATCGAAATTCATCATCCACCTTCTGTTTTTGGCTGCAAAGCGTTGGAACGAAGTGCGCACGGAACACCTCGGGAAAGAATTCAAGGCCTCATGCTTGACAGGATTTAAATGAGTTCTGGCAGCGGTTGGACAAGACCCAAACTCGCAAAAGAGTATATGTTGCATATGGGAGAACAGTTTTCGGTCATTGGATGGACGAGTGTTGAAGAGACAGCCGTATACGTTATACGCACAGTCGTGGGTAGTGAATACATAGGGGTCGCAAGCTGTCAGAAAATTCCATTAAGAATCTGGGGTATTGCGAAGTTCCTGCTGGAATGAATTCCGCTCACCTATTCAATACTTCTATTAGAAACGGTTGGAGAATCCCAATCGAATCAAAAATTAAAAATCTAAGTTTGTACTTAGGGATAAG